GTTTGAAAGCCAAGGATGGGAATAGATAGGAATCTTTCAAATCAGGGTCCGAATGTGCTTAAAGAGTGAGCACCAAGGGGGCAGGAGGAGAAGCTTGTCTATCTATTTCATGTTTCACTCAACTCTACCGTTATTAATTATGAATGGACCTGAATAGAAGACTTCAAATCAGAGGCTGGATTTTGATTTCTTCAAAGTTGAGGTCCAGAGTTTTGCTTTGGGTTTATCTTTAACATTAATGTTGTTATTTTGCTAAAGTATAAATAATTTATTTCTGAATGTTAACTGGGCAAAAAATGTACTACAGCAGAACCTGGATACTTTGCAGGGTTCCCCCTTGTGAAGATGAGGGTTTGTGAAGTATCAGGCTATAGAGCCACAGTAAACAGTGGCATAGGATAGCTGGGGTGTTTCGGCTGTTTGCTGTGGCTTTTATTTCAAATGATTAATTCTAGCTGCTCCAGGCAGTGCCCTTCGAAGTCAAAGCCACAGCAAAAAACTAAGCGGCACCTCCTTAATTTGGGCACCATGATATGAATTAAGCTAGTTGCAAACCACTTGTTTGCAACAGATCCTCTATCAGACTACCTTCGTTGTGTTCGGTGAGTAGTAAAAGAATGAAACACTATAGGACAGGGAGACAAAGCAGGCAGAAGTCCTTTGTTTGATCCCATTGCAGCAGAGCCATGTAAGCAGCTATTCAGACTGTTAAGAGTATGGTGTACAAAGTCCACGGACAGTAATTTTCATTAAATACTAGTTTGGTGAAGTGCCTGCTTTATCTGAACAATGGTTCTTCTCTGAAATGCTGTATTCCTAAAGACGTTTAGCGCACAGAAGAGACCTATGCTTGCAGCAGGTACAGTGGACTCTAATGATCTAAAATAGATGCACTGTCACTATAAAGAAAAAAAAAAAAAAAGTAAGTAGATCTTTGCATATAGTTTAGATCAGGTGTTTCTTATTGTCACGGTGTGGGGTCCTGTGGGACGGCTGTGATCTCCCTAAGGCCCCCTTCCTGTGCCAAGTTGGCCCAAAGGGCACCCTCACTTCTTGCCCGCCACGTCTTTGATGGAGTATAAATATATGGAAGGCTGCTTTACGTCCTCTGGGACACGGTCTGTTGCAATATCTGACCCCGTGGACTCCCGGACCCCTTGCGGGTCCCGCTCTACAATGGGTGCTTCAGGGGCACCCTAGCCTTATGGGCTATGTGTGGCTCCAGCCACCCCTGTACCACGCCCCAAGCCTCGCAGCTGGAGTAGACATTTGGGTCTAGGTTTACACCCTCTCTGGCGCTCGGGCTCTCCACGGCCCTGTCTCACTCCGTGCCCCTTCTCTGGGGCTTCTCCACAATGCTGCCCCCCTTCTTTGGGGCTTCTCACAACCCGCACTGGGGCTTCTCATCAACACTGCCCCCTTTCCTGGGGCTTCTCAAGTGCTGCCCCTGCTCCTGGGGCTCACCATACCTGCACTGGGGCTTCTCACCAATGCCCCCTCTCTGGGGCTTCTCAACTGCCCCTTTTCTGGGGCTGGGGTCAGTGCACCCCTAATGCTGTGTCCTCACTGGCACTAGGGTCCCCATGCTAATGTGGGTCCCCTATGAGGCCTCCTCCAACCCCTAATAGCCTCACCCAAACCACCAGTAAGAAATAGCAAACAAAATGCAAGCCCCTTGGCTATAACATAAATGGACGCTGCCCGGCTATATCCCTGTTCAAGCCTAACGGGGGTACTTCATCCCGCAGCAGTGTCAGACGCTGCTCCTGCATTCAGGCTTTTCCTCTCTTCCCTGAGAGAGAGCTCCTTCCTCCTTGGCTGCTGGCAGGGAACTGCTAACCTGGCCTCAGCCCCTGGGCTTTATAAGGGAGCCAGGCCCTGCCCCTTCTGGCCAGCTGACCTCCTCTGGTTGCCCTGGCAACCTGCAGCTGGGCTCATCCCTCACTGCTAGGGCTCCTTCCCTAGCAGTTTTTTCCTTCTTAGGAGCAGTGCACCTAAGTGCTCTGCGACACTTATGAAGGGCCCATGCAGGCCTTTGCAGTAGTGGGTATAGTTATCACCAAGTTTAGGTCACAAAAGGCTGACTTACATGTCTTTACAGATGTTTTCAATAATACTGCAGAGAAATTGGTAAATTATATCCGTAGCAACTCTTAACAATTCTGTGAAGGATTTTTCTCTCTAATTCTTTCAAACAGAATGTACAGGTTGAACACTTCTACTTTTCAGAATGCCAAACAAAAGCAGGCTTAGGAAGAAATGCGTATACTGAACATGTATGCAATATTGAAATAGGTTGATACTCTGTTATTAATATGTGGTGTTGTAGCTAAGAATTACAGTATTTAGGTCACATATCCGTAGGTTGCAATAACGGGGCAGAATGCTGATTCAGGTTAGTTTAACTAATTCACTGACAACCTGAATTTTCCCCCTTCTTTTACTTTAGCTTTAACAGCCTTCAACTTAGAATGAACATATTTTATATTAGTGAAAACTTTTACTTATTAATACTCATGTCAATACCTTACTATCCTGTTTGCTTAGATATAGTTGACCTTTTTTTTCTTTTCAATTTTAGGGGCAGTCAGTCTACATTTCCGTTCTTTCCCTGTTCTTTGTTCTTTTAAAAGCTTCCAAGGCTTTGCTTCAGTGTAGACTTTCTTTCCGAGAGAAAAATGTTGAATACAGTTCACGCTGAAAGCTGTCAAGGTCACTTAGGCCATGTAATCACCATAAAACAATACAAGGTACTGCAGAGGTTGAGCATATTTCTTACAAAGTGTTCTCAGCCTTTGATATCCTTCAGGGGAGATGATCAGTTTTTGCCTAGAACTCCTGTATGCTCTATATTGGTATATGTATCTGTTACAAGGCTGTCAGATCAGCCTGCATATGTTTTGTTGAATTTACTGTGGGTTAAAATTGTAGAAAGCGTGCAAGTAAAAGGACACTTTTACACATGCTGTGTGGTGGGGGGGGAGGTGGTGCTTTAATTAAATTGAGAGCTGCTCTAATTAAACTGCCATAGCATTTTGTGTATTAGCATACCTGTGCTTCAAAATGGTGATGGGGATGCTTGAGCTAAAGCTTGTTGAATGAGCTTTAGTTTAAGCACTGCAGCTGCCATTTTGTAGCATGGGGATGCTGATGCACAAGGTGCGGAGGCTGGCTGGAGCGCCGTAATTACCATGCTCCAGCAGATTCAATTAATCAAATCTGCTCTGATACCCTGTAATTACAGTGCATTGGAGCAGCCTCCATGCTTGTGTATGAGCATACAATGGATGTCCTAATGGTAAGTTTGCACATCAGCCAAAAACCTTCTATGGTTACTTTCTAATGTGAAAATAATCATACATCCAAAAACTCTTGAAATGCGGGGTTTTAAAGTTCAGGTTCAGGTCTTTGTTCTGCTGAAAACAAAAACTTGGCACTAAGAAACCACCTACGAGTTTAATCTCCCAGTTGCATTATAGCAGTTCAGATTGGTTCCTTTCTTGGTTTTCTTGTGTTGTTTATCTAATGTAATTGTTGTCCCTTTAACTTGCCTTACCCTAGGCTCCAAGGCTTTGGAGTATTCCAATGGCATATTTGATTGTCAGTCTCCTACGTCCCCATTCATGGGGAGCCTGCGAGCACTGCACCTTGTGGAGGATTTGCGTGGCTTATTGGAGATGATGGAAGCAGATGAAAGAGAAGGGTTGCGATGTCAAGTCCCAGATTCAACAGCAGAAACACTGATTGAATGGCTTCAGAGTCAAATGGTACAGTATTATCTTGATGTTCTTATGATGCGTCTTTTACTTATTCAGTGGGGCTGAGCTACCTTTCCCATGATGCTCTACTGGATGCTACAGACTTTCTTCTAGATCAGAAAAACTTTTTAGTAAATATGATTTTTTTTTTTTAATTTGAAAAAGGAAATATACATTAGGAAGCAGTTCTTATTCTTAATATAAATCTTTTCGATGAAAAAAATTAAAAGCAATTTTGATAGAAAATACTTGCCTGGCCCTAATTAGTGCTAATAATCTCTTAGGAAAACTCAGAATGGCAACATCTGTCATAGACTTTCTGAAATTGGTTTAGGAAAAGAGGAAATAGATTGTTTAGTTTTTGTCATTTGAGATTTACATCAGGTGTACCTAGTAGTTGCCGTCCCCATACCTTGTGATTGCCATGGTTGAGAAGCTAGCATTATTCAGTAGAGGAGTTTCACTTGGGAAAATGCCAAGAAAATAATCGTTCAGTTTATATAAAAATATAATTTAGGACAATGTTTTTGAAGAGGTTTCAACCTGGCCACTAACTTTGCATACCTGATATCTTGCGTTCAAAATATAAAGGGGGACTTCAGGAGGATTCCCCTGGTTTATGGGAACAACTTGTGCTGGCCTTGTTTACAAGAAGGCAACGAGTCTCAGAGAAGCCTTGTTGACAGAAGGTAAAAAGTCTTTTTATGAAGAATTGTGCTTTCAACATTTCAGTCAATTTCTAATAATTAGAGTGCAGGATGACACTTAGTGATGGCGGCAGATTAGTTGAGAGGTTTTGGCCAGGGCCGGCCCACAATTTTTTGAGGTCCCCTGCAAGAAATAGTTTTGGGGCCCCCTGTTCCAAAGAAGCCAGTGGTTTGCGGGGGGTGGTAATGGCAAGCGGCTGAAGAAGCTGGCGACGGCAGCGGGGGGAGGGTGGCAAGCGGCCGGACACAGGGGTCCCCTGCGGCCGCAGATTTCACAGCATAGGGCCGGCCCTGGTTTTGACGGCTTCCTCTGAAGCATCTGGTACAGGCCACTGTCAGACACAATTGGGTGAGGCTCTGTTCCCCCGGGCACCACCAGGGGTTACTAGGAATAATGGCCACAAATTGTTAGAGAGAAGGTTCAGGCTGGACATCAGGAGGCATTACTTTACAGTTAGGACTGCCAGGCTCTGGAATGGACTCCTAAGGGAGGTGGTGCTCTCTCTTACCTTGGGGGTCTTTAAGAGGAGGCTGGATAGATGTTTGGCTGGGGTATTATGACCCCAGCACTCGTTCCTGCTTGGGACAGGGGGTTGGACCTGATGATCTGTTCAGGTCCCTTCCGACACTAAGCACTATGAAACAGAGTAGCTGAACTTCAGGTCTGATCTAGCATGGCAGTTCCAGTGTACCTCAGACTATATCCACAACTCTACGTGCTACCGTCTATGGGTGCAAAAAATAGACACTGTTTTTGGATTTTTTTCCCTGAAGAATGTCGGGCTTTTCTTGATTGGATTTGCTTCTGTTTTGACTTCAGATGCCACCTAGTGGTGCATACATCTCCATGCCATCTCTCCATGGATGTCATGGAATAGTTTGGAATGACTGAACTTTTCTTTTACTGAAGGTTCCTAGAGGAGAGCTATGTTTTTGAGGTAGCTTTTGCTTTCATATACTTCTCAAGCTACCAGGCCCTGATCACAAAGCCCAAAGCAGTGCATAATGGTGGGAGAAGAACCATAGAAATGATGTGGAATTCAGTTCTTTGAAGTGTATAATTTGGTGTATAACTAGCTTTTCTGAGGTCTGTTATGTACAATAACAAGCATATCTATTATGGGAGCTCAGTGTCAGCTTTGGAAGTACGAGGTCAGCCCTGCTGGTGTCTTTCACACCTCTCAGTGCCTCCCACAGCCCTGCTGGTGCCCCTCACTGCCCCCACAACAGCCCCTCCACCCTACTCGTGCCTTTTGTCCCCTAGTCTTGCCCCGAGCTGTCAGGGCTATGGGGCCAGGGACCAACAGCAGGCAGTTGCAGCAGAAGCAGCATGGAGTTGGCTCCCCCACTGCTCTGCCTGCTTGGGTGGGGCCAGGGCTGGCTTCTGACTCCTCCCAGCCCTGGCCCCGCTTGACTTGATGGTATCTGTTATAATTAGATACATAAACACGGGGCATGTTTACTTGCTCTCCATATGGTATGTTTGGAAAAAAAAAATGTTTTTTTTTTTTTTAAAAGGCAAAAAATTAAATTCTCTGCAGATAATGCATGGGCAACAGCAGGACAAGTATAGTCAAACAGGTCTGTCAGAATACATTATCCTTTCACTGGAAGGGCCATCTGTATAGGACAGGCGATAGTTCAGTCCATATTGCTCCATTCAGTCTTTAGTGTATCTTTATCATTAAAGAAGCCAGTGAGTGCTATTGGTGATGGCAGGTTTCTGCTGTAGACAGACCCTCCTGCAAGGAACTGAAATGAAATCGCTAACCCCATTTTACATAGAGTCCCCCCTCGCAGGGTGGGCAGGCTAGCATTGACCCAACCTGTCTGCTCCAGTCAAGCAGGCTGGTATGCTCTAGCACCTCCCAGTTTCTGACTTGGGCTACTGCAGGCATGTGGTTACGAGAATCAAAAGACACTGTATGTTCACTTGCTTATTGGTTCTGTCTACACAGCTTAGACCAGGGGTGGGCAAAATACGAACCACGGGCCAGATTCGACCCGCCAAGCACTTCCTTCCAGCCCACAGAGCCCCTTCAAAACCCACGTAATAGCAGCTGCCTCTCTAAAAGCTTCCGGCGGCACCAGCTGCCGGCTGCAGAACCTCAGGCTGTTTCCTTGGGTTCTGCTTGGGAGGCAACCAACCCTGACCTCAGCCTGACCCAGCTAGCCTTGCCCCGCCCCTGGCTCAGGCCACATTTGCAGCTTGAGAGGGGTGGGGGAGCTGGGCTGGAACCTGTGGTGCCGGTGAGGGGCAACAGTGTCTGGGCCGGGTTCTGCTTTGCTGCACGGGACTGGAAAAGGCCCTGCCCTGCAGGTAAGCCCAGGAAAGTGACTGTTGGGCAGACTTTCCCCGTGCTTTGCCATGCTGTGTCGCTCGGACTGTGTGGGGTCGGGCTGCGCTGGCACTGGGGAGGGGAAGCAGCAGCTGGGCCACAGCTCTGGCCCAGTCAGCACCAGGGAGGAGAAGTAGCAGCGAGCCGTGTGCTGCACGGGACAGGAGGAGCCAGCCAGAGCGGCAGGGGCTCGGCTGCATTTTCCCCCTGCTCGTGCTGGTCAGTT